GATTTAAGGGTCAATGACTTCGCATAACTGTTATTCATTCACTGCCACGAGATCGAGGGGTAAACCTCGAGTCGACTTCGAGGCGATTTGGTGACAATTAATCTGAAGGTAGACCCTAATGAATATTGATCTTAAGGTATTAGAAGAGCAATTCTTTCTGGAGCGGCTGAACTCCAGTGCAGGCTTTTCGTCATCGTGAAAGCTCCGCAACCCCGCCAGATTTCTTGGTTTGCTATAACATTTCGAAAGATTTATGACCATGAACTACGCTTTTGTCCTTCTAATCACGGTCACAACAAACCCGTTTCCTGTATTAAACGTAGTGTAATAATTTTGTTTTGTATGAAATTCCTCCTCGAATAACACAGATTACCGAGAAGGAGACGGTGATTCTATCTTTGAAAATGGCAAATTCTGCTGCATTTGCAAGCACATTTACTGTCAAAGTGGATCCAACAAAGACTACGGAGACCAGAATGACCACTTCTGACTTATTAGACGTAATCAGACAAGCGTACTCAATCCCATGTGCGAATCACTCGGGATTCGAACCAGGGACTTTGATCGTGGAGCACAATCTTCTACCATTGCACCACGGGCTAACTGACTTTTCGGTTTTGATGAATAATATGATGAAAGTGGAAAGGTTTCTGCTCCGGTAATGGAACGTATACGTTCTGCAGCAAAGCCCGAGTTCGAATCCCGAGTGACCCACACCTGACTGGCTGATAACGGCTAATAAGCCAGAAATGGTCATTCCCGTCTCCCGAGCCTTTGTCGGAGCAACTACATTTTATTCTACAAGTTGCTATGAGACTGCCTGCGAGGCCCTTAAAGTGAGGTCCAGGACAAAATCGGAACCTACATATCCCATTACCAGATCGAGGAACCTCGCACTTGTAAATCTACTATAAGTACTTGCGATGATTTTTTTAAAAACCCTGTCATTTACCTCATCGAAGACAAATATACACATACGAGTATCCTTTGCAATCTCTTCTGCGAACTCATGCATTATTTTGACATACATGACATAACAGGCAAAGACAAGGAAGACTATAATAGCCTTTACCGGCTTATTGGCTGTCATTTGCTAACTATATCGAAAACCAGATTTG